TCCAAAAGTTATACATATTGAATCATATTTCGGTATTCAAGCATTCATAATGAAACGATACACATTTAAAATAGGTTACAATATTCAGGAATTTCTGCAGGCAAACGTGTTGAAACGTTGTTCCATGGTAGAGAAGCAAATCTAAAAGTTAACAGCATTAATGTATGCATATTGAATCATACTGGGGTATTCAAGCTTTCATAATCAAATCATTAAAATGGTTTAAAAGAGTGAAACAGCGTATTTCTGGACTGGTGTGAACCAACACTTTGTTTGGTGGCGTCTTAGTTTCCACCTATTTAGGTGTAAAGTCTGTTTAAAATTTTAACAGTGTAAGTAAACGTTGAATCGTTACTCCATGGTGGTGACATCATTCCAAAGATTACTTATATTATTATCTATCCATATTGAATCATATTTAAATATTCAAATATTCATAATTAAATTTGAATAGCCTACAATATTCCAAATTTATGCCGATAAACCATTCGAAACGTGATCGAGACGCCAATTCCAAGCTGATTACTCCCCTTTCATGTCGATGGAATCATTCGGACTAATAGTGAGGACTGAGATCACTTGACTTATTCTGATGTATTCAGAGATATATATAGGGAGTCTTCTTGTCTTCAATCTATGCATAATTAATCACACCAGATCTGGCGATTTCATACCGACCGTACACTTTGATTTTACAATGGAAAAGAGTTTTTCGCCCTGCTGGTCGAGATCTTTAACAAAAGTTGACCGACTATATGGGCGTGGGGAAGTCTGGCGACCTTGAATAAGTCATCTTTCCTTATCATTCCAGTGGACCCAGCATGGGTAATCCTGGAATGATCAATGCCAAGAGGTTTTGCCAAGGACCAGCTGGTAGAATGATCCTAAGTTGAAAAATATCGTTGGTTATTTTCTTTCTTTCTTTGACCGACTTGGCGTGATATTCACCATTGGTAGCATTGTGACCAATTGTTCTTTATTATATTCAACTATATACAACATTGTACAAATTTTCAGATTTAAAAAAAAGCTTTTTACATAAACTGTCACTTTTCTATGCAATTTAAAACAAAAACTACATTATTACCTCAATTTGTAAATATTCAATTATAATTTTATTGAATTTCCTTATGACATCTCGTACGCTATTATTTTATTGTCATATTTTTAAGACCTTCTCAAACAATTGAAGAATTAACATAGGCGTACGGGTCGAAGGCGTGGTTATAAGTTTTAAATATTTTAATGATAAGAGAAATCGGATATGTACGTTACAAAACCTCACTTCAAATCGTCAAGACCGAAACCAACAACAGTTTTTCTGTAAGCAGAATTGTTGGACTAAGGGATTCTATGGTATTCCCTAAGAATGGTCGTATTCAAGCCTAAAATTCAACGATCTTTGTTGAAGCATCCTGTTCATGAATCCGCTTAAGACGATCGTCAAGGCCATGCAGGAAATTTTACCAGAAACGGCATAAGCGTATTCTTTTTCCATTTCCCATTATCGGGGATTGTATTCCTCCCATCCGTATAACTGGACGCTTTTATCCTACTACCAGTCCCTCAGACGAACTTTACTAGCAGAAGACTGCATCTACATGTAAAGTACAGAAAAAACCTGTGTCATCAGATTTTATAACGATGCGTTCATAAGATATTCCCAATGGGTTGACGTGGTTTAATTAGGTTACTAGTTTGTATTTTAAGGTTTGTTATTTTATTAGAATTCTGCTAAATAAATTCGATACAGTTCAGAAAATACGAAACGAAACAAATTATAGAGTGAAAATTGACACCAATTAATTCGCTAGCATATTTTTTTCGTTTCAAATCAGTTTCTAATCATTTATTCTAAAAAATTGTACAAAACCACTTTCTGGTTAATTGCAATAGGTATCGCATTCACCTGAAAAACTGAACGAATCGGAGAACTAACACACGGTAATTACCCCATAACACGTGTAACCTATCTTACCTTACATTCTCAACATAATGTTAGTTTAAAAAATAACTCTCCTAACGGTTTGTTTGGTTTAAAAAATAATCGAACAGTTGCCTGGTATAAACAATGGCTGCTGTAGACTTGTCGGTATCTGATATTTGAAAGTAAAGATTAAGTTTGTAAAGAGTTCTTTGGCTGAATATTCACTCCTGATTGAGATCGATTTACTAGACTAGCTATTGAAAATTTAATATCAAAGTCTGAAAGCATAACTTGAATTATGCCAATTAAAAATCCGTACCAGCAAGACAATTCCGTTAATCAAAATCTCATCCAACGAGATAATAGTAGTGGATTCCTCCAGAGAGAAGAACCATCAGGTGTTTCGAAAACAAACAAACATATACGATTTCAAATACATATATTTTAGATTCACAGCAATAAGCAATTTATAACTGCAAATGGTGGCTGATATTTTTCCAATGATACCCCAGTAGTGATTTACGGATTAGCGTTCAGATAGCTAAAATAGATCTCTAACAGCTGGTAGAGAAACATGGAAATGACTTTACAGATAGCTTAAATTAAGCTGTATCAGCTGGTAGAAAAAGTATGTAAATGACTAAACAGATAGCCGAAAAGCTGTATCAGCTTGTAAAGAAAATATCTAGATCACTATATACTTTAAGAGTATAAATCACCTCACTGAATTCCATTCCATCTTCCAGAAACTATATAAAATAGTACAGATCTGAGAATCAATTCCATTCGGTACTCGATCTTATATCTTTTTAATCTATCTCATATTGTTTCATATACCGGAAATATTCGGACCTCCAGTGAAGAATCTTAAGAAATAATGACATCAATCTGAGTAAACGTTTATCTGGCAGTTTTATCATTGCCCATTGACCTTCTATCATACGAAACTCATTGTTGATTTAATGATTCTAATTAACAGAAAGGCCAGTGCCGACTTTTCAGATTTTTGTACACGCAGGTGCCATTTGTTACCAGAACCTATTTAACCATTAATTGATCCAATTTACAACACGGCCCGAATTTTTCATATTTTAGTCTTAAGGGTGCCATCTCTCGTCGTGACCCGAGCTATCAAGGTAGGCTATTTTGTCTCGTAATCTCAGTAAACCAGCGAAATTTTGCACGAGGCTAAGCCACCCTTTCATGTTATTACAATGGACCGAGGTCAGTATCGCTAAGAAAAATCTAGCAAATCTTGTGAAGCCATTATTGCCCATTATTCCTGTCGACCCAGTAGTACACGTTTGTTGATAATTCAGGAGATGCCAATGCCAAGAGATTAGGTCAAGTCTATATGGAACAAGGATTCTCGTTATAACCCAGATTATAAATTTACAGATTGTAAAATCGGAAATCCAGGCTTTTTTGTAAATATCACGAGCATATCGAGCATACAATCGTGTAGAACTAACTTTTAAAGTTTATAATTTCTGCAGTTGTATATGCAAAATAAATGAAACGTATGCAAAAAGTAGCACGATATAAACTAAATTTGAAAACTTAATTGACATATGACAGGTTTAATGTCCCAGAACTGCACGGTAATAATTATTGTATGCGTGGAAAGTTAGCGAAACAATATGTTCTCTCTTCCAAAACATTTTTTTTCAGGGAATATAAATATTTATATGGTATAATCATTGTTTTATAAAACCTTTTTTCTCTACATATTCATGAATTTGTAGTTTAACAACGAGTCCTATAAACAGCAGGCTGTAACTGATGTGATTGGGAAGTCAGTGTGCAGAAGCTTAAAGTTAATTCCCCGCTATCTGTTGGTTGGAAGTCTGGAATCGGTATGCAGAATAAATCTAAACACCCAAATGGAAAAGTTCTAAGAAAAAGATTGAGCAACAGCGTTTTAAAACAAGTTATTTTCCAACTTTCCATATTTACCCAGGTCTAGTGGACAATATTGTAGCCAAGGTGAAGTGTTTTGTCAAAGTGAAGCTATTATGAATAACAACATGGCGAACTCTCGGGAACTGTAACATTTCGATTTTTACAGCCTTAGTAAATATTTGCTCATTTAGAATAGATTGTGTGTCATTTGGTAGCTATAATAGATCTATACATTCCCAAGTGCTATGAGTTGTAGTGTTCAATATTTCAACAAGTAGAAGAAGACTTGCACAGTTGATGGACTTTTAAAGGTAGAATCCCGTATTCAAATTCCTTTGCGATCATCTGATCTGTCAATACCTTCAACTTTACAAGGCACAAATCCATATTCGTATTTTATATCGGGATTTTTGACTAAATCCTGTCTCTCAATGGTCGATAATCTATATCTCTATTATGAAATAATTTCTGATGTTAACATTAATTTTTCAAGAGGGAGTAAGCATAGTTTCTTAAACTTCATTGGGTTAAAAAATTTTCAACAAACAGATTTTCAAATTTTGTCACCATTAGCTTCAATTTAACTCTGCTTTTAGCCAATACTTTTATTACTTTTAAACCAAGTTTTTGAAATCAAACTCCTTCTGTATCGGTCCTGAAACAGAGCTCAGGTGTTAAATTCTAACCATAATAAATCTTCAAGTTGAGAGAATAATAACAACAGAAAGATTAGTAGAAAGATTAGCAGAAAGATTAGCAGAAAGATTAGTAGAAAGATTAGTAGACGCTGTTATCTCTTCTCTCTGCAGGATAAGTCTATAACTGGATACAGTTAACCTGTCTGGGATATCAGCGTCGATAGAAGCGTACGTTAACTTGTCATCTACCAACAACTTCCAAGTCAGTGATATCAGTTAGCTGGAAGCGGACGTTAACTTGTCATCTACCAATAACTACCAAGTCAGTGATATCAGTTAGCTGGAAGCGGACGTTAACTTGTCATCTACCAACAACTACCTAGTCTGTGATATCAGTTAGCTGGAAGCGGACGTTAACTTGTCATCTACCAACAACTACCAAGTCAGTGATATCAGTTAGCTGGAAGCGGACGTTAACTTGTCATCTACCAACAACTACCTAGTCTGTGATATCAGTTAGCTGGAAGCAGACGTTAAATTGTCATCTACCAACAACTACCAAGTCTGTGATATCAGTTAGCTGGAAGCAGACGTTAACTTGTCATCTACCAACAACTACCCAGTCTGTGATATCAGTTAGCTGGAAGCAGACGTTAACTTGTCATCTACCAACAACTACCCAGTCTGTGATATCAGTTAGCTGGAAGCGGACGTTAACTTGTCATCTACCAACAACTACCTAGTCTGTGATATCAGTTAGCTGGAAGCAGACGTTAAATTGTCATCTACCAACAACTACCAAGTCTGTGATATCAGTTAGCTGGAAGCAGACGTTAACTTGTCATCTACCAACAACTACCCAGTCTGTGATACCAGTTATCTGGACGTGGTCAACTACGTACAACTGCATGTCGAGTTCCCATACCCTTGTTCATATACCATACGTTTACATATTGGAGTATGCCACCGAACCACCGAACATGAAACAAAAGAGAGAAACATATGAATCAATTGTTGACTCTGAGAAAATTGTCGTAAATCCAGTCTGTCACATAGAATTGTTGGCCCTCAAAGACTGAAAGAGACTGCAAAGACCAACAACTCTGTATGTGAGATTGTCAAAAGGGTTTGTTTCGTTGTGTACAATGTGGGTACGTTAGTTCATCGTACTAAGTAACCTCTGTACAAAATTAAAACTTAAAAAAAAAACGAAACGAAATAAAGAGGCTGTTTTTAATCAAGTTGTCATTCTACACAATGACAAACATCGTCACAGATGGAAATCTGCTGTAAAAGGAAGTCGAAGAGACTTTTAAAAAATCAAATTTCCGTTCCGTATCTCAATAACTAGCTAGTCTGTTTGTTTTTCCGCTAGCAGCATGTTTTATTGTAATTGCCAATTGACTAACATCTGTTAATAAAATATAACAGCACTCTGGATAGGTCGAGATAATACCCCTTGTCAGTGATGCAGGTGAGGGGTTGCAGACATGGAAAAGGGGTCTAGTCGTTAGGATGGGACAATAAACCGAGGCCTCGTGTGTTACAGACTGTGCACGTTCAAGATCCCTCGACAGTTGGAACTCAAAAAAGAGCAGGCTGATGCCAATGTTCTGGCAAAATTTCCTTCATTGTACTCTGAATGGTGTTTCCCGTCTTCATTAGCCACATTGTGCAGAAAAGTAGGATGTAAAACTTCATTTCATTTCATTGTTATGAAAAATAGGAAAACCTGCCTCACAAATATGTTCATTCAGCTTTGACACTTTCAACCCGTTGCGCCTCAGTATTTTATACACTTCTGTTCTGACTCGTTTGCTACGTGCAGTGTTCGTTAGGGGGCATAGTCATTTAATTATAGGAAATCGACAAATTTCGTTTTATTGGTACCTCATCACTTTAAAATCAATAGTTTAAAATCGAAGAAGAGGCTTATGTTTGTGTCCCCACACAACCCCCAAAAATACACTGCAAGGCTTGATTTTTTCCTTTAATGCCCAATCACGATCAGACAACCAAGAAGCAAAACATAACTTCATGTCTTTTCCTGGTTTATGTTGACAGTAAAAAGCTATTTAATGTACTCTTTACAATCTTTTCAACAGCCTTTTTTTAGCGCAATAAATTCTTATCTTTGTACTGTAACAAATCATAGTTCTAACAGTACTGTATCGATCTGTAAATCATATAACTATCAGTTTAAAGATGTATAAGAATTAATATTAACCATCAGTAGGTGAGAATCTTGCAGGGTCGTAAATAGTTGGTTTGTTTTGTTTTATGTGGGGGAACAGTTGCCTCTACATAGTTACAGGTGAGGTTTTGAAATACGATTTTTAACACAGGTATTCGAAATGTAAATCCTAAGAACATAAGTGAACTGTTCGGACATCGGAGGTATAGAGCAGTTGCTCCTCGTGATTCTTCGTTATTTCGTTTTACTTTTCCTGATATTTTTCGTCTCTATTGTAATCTTACAAGTTATCTATCACACTCTCGTTCTCATAACGCAATGTCTTAACAATCTAACGATGTCCGGCGTGATGTACGATGCGGGATTATCGATACAGTAGAAAATTGTACAAGCGAATCGTGTCCTTATCGTGACCGGACCCGTACCCGTTCTTTAGTTTTATTATCTACGGTATCGATAATTCCGCACCGGACACCACACCTGACACCGTGCACCGCCTATTCGTGGCTTTAGGTAAATTTGTCGGGGTACAACTGGTATACCTGATTTATACACGTGATACGATGACTAGATATTACAAACGAAGGCGTAAGATCCGGGAAGCACGTGCTAACAGAATATAATCTATACAGAAGTTATTATAACCTAATTATCATTTTATAGATATATCATCATTTCAAAATTGTATTCATAAACATTTCATAATTATTAAAGGCAAGCGGGATCTTACCAAGTTGCGAACAGCCCCGCGGGGAACTGATATAAGGTGTACATAGGGCGAACGGACCCGCTCATTTACAAGCACCATTAAATAGGTAAACAGGGATAAATATTCCAAATACAACTAATGTGCCAAGAATCTTTATATATCGTATTGTATTTAATGGTTTTATGAACAACGGACCATTAGAGAAAAATGATTTATGTCAGTTCTCTAATTATTATTGACACTTGTAAAACGTGTTACAAACCGTTTTTATAACAATACAATGTTCATCTATAATGATTACATGATATCAGGGTCCATATTGATCTAGGCACCGAGGCAGTGTGGTTCTGACTTGATATTCATATATCATTAGCATGTAATCATTCTGACCATAGACAACTTACCTGTTTCATAAAACCTTAACTCAGCATGAGTTCTTCAGGATCATTTTAGATTGGTCATCTGATTTGTTAACAAAATTTCGGTTTTAAAAACTGATTACTGTAGTTCTTTAAATTTGGGTTTAAATTTCAACCCGGGGTTCTTTACGTCTCATGCAGGAATGCATTGGCAATTGTCCGAGACCTATAACAAGTGTTATAAAATGCTAATAAACTTAAAAAATACAAATCAAAATCTGTACAAGCAAGACAATTCCGTAAATAAAAAGAATTCGTTCAAAGAATGGCAAAATCATTGTAAAACTTGTATAGTTGCAGACTCCTCCAAAGAGAGATACCATCAGGTAAGAGTAAAAAAAAATGGTAAATTCATGCCCGACAAATAAACCATTGCAAAGTGGGGTATTCTGCTGAATCCCAAGTCATGTGCCTCTCACACACTGACGACTTTCAAACGTCAAAATTCAAGTTATTGTTACGTTCTAGTTAATCTTAATTAAACTTTTAATTAAATTAGTTTTAATTTCGTATTTAAAGTAGAGAAGTACAGAAATATCAATAAAGCAAAGCAAAAAGATTGACAATGCGTTATATCCCGTCGAAAAAGCAACATAAAACACGTTATATGATTACGGAATTCTCTATTTTTATAATTTATTCATGTATTTTAATGAACGGAAAAATGTATAAAATTTTCGATTTTTCTCACCAAAATCACACTGCTTTTTTTTCTATATTGTAGAACTACGTAACATGTTTTCGCGTGATTTCGGAATTTATCAATGATTCGAAGATTAAGAAACTAAATCAAAACCGGTAATCATAGATAAAGTGGAACTAATTCAATTTAGGCTGTCTTTTTTAAGATTGACAACTGTTTCTGGTAATAATTCTGTCATTATGTTGGTAATAACGCAAGGCATGTCCTTGGATGGCGTTTAATACTTTATACCCATTGGCAAAGTTTGATCGCTATGAAAATGATTTCAACATCTACCAATATTGCATGCAAATGTTACAACGCCTGCTAGTCCCCGTAACTAGAGCGTGTACATAGCTTCAGTCAGATATAGAAATTAAATTGAGTTGTACATAGTTACTGACATGACGTGTACCACGATTTACAGCTACCCACAGACATACAACCCAGAGTTAGGCAACGACCAACTCCCAACAACAGAGAGTCGAAAAAAAAACATGACGTAGAAATCAGGTTACAGAAATAGAAACCAGAGTTAGGCAACGACTAGGCATTGTCCAAAGTGTTACCCAGGGTGGGCGGTGGGGAGTCGGAAAAACACATGACGTTCAACCACCAACAGAAATAGAAGCCAGATTTAGGCAATATTTGATGTACTGTACAACCGTGATGTAAAATGTAACTACGAGTAGGTAGATGGGACAATATTTGATGTTCAGCCACCCACAGAAATAGAAATCGGGGTTCAGCAAGCGATTTCCAACCATTTTGTAAACTTTTACCCGGGATTGGAAAATGGAACACTTGACGTTTAACCACCAACGGATTAGACGACAGTTATGCGATATTCTGTTTACAGTACAACCATGATGTAACCAGATTTGGTTCTTTTGTGTACAATCATTCCCTGGAAACTTTTCCAGAGTTTGATCTTTCTTCCAATATCCTCAAATACCGATACCCTTACGATCATTTGTTTGACATTGAAAAGTTTTTAAATTTGATCATCACTTAGCAACAGTTGGCAACTACTTGCATCTGTTTGAGTTGAAAGTCGTCAGAACATTAAAAGATACAAATATCACACACGTAAACATGTCGATTTTACGATATCCTTATTAATATGATATGAAAGTTTTCTATTGTTGTAATACAGAAGCTATTTATCATATTTTTGGCTTTTTAAAAACATTGTTCAATACTATATTCATTAAATATGGAATACAACGTTTTTGTTTTTTATATTGGTATTTCTAAACTATCGCAATTTAAACCAAACTTGTTAATTATTAATTATTAAATTATACAGATGTAATATTGGATATCTAATGCAATCCAAATCCCTTCTAAATCTATCTTCGAGTTCTACACCCAAAGATTAAATTCCACTTCAGAAATTAGTTTAAATTTTTCAAAAGTTTTTTGAAAGTTCTTCTTTTAAGTTGATTTTGAGTAAATCTAAAATAGCCTACGTTATCAAAAAATACAAAATATCCACTTTCTCAAATTGATAAAGATTCTTAATTTTGTTTATCACATTCAGGTGTGTTGCTATATTGTGGTGTAGAAATTCTACCTGAAAACTTTTATGAGATCGATCTATCATGGTATTTATTTTAGTACCTTATAAAATTGTTACTATATATTTGAAAGATACTATGAAAAAAAAATTGAAAAGATTATAAGAAAGTTTAATAACTGACGACAATTTTTATATATATGAACCAGGTGTCTTGTCA